GGAAGGAAGGAAAGGGAAGGGGAAAGGGAAGGGGAAGGGGAAAGGGAAAGGGAAAGGGAAGGGGAAAGGGAAAGGGAAAGGGAAAGGGGAAGGGGAAGGGAAGGGGAAGGGGAAAAGGGGAAGGGGAAGGGGAAGGGGAAGGGGAAGGGGAAAGGGAAAGGGGAAAGGGGAAGGGAAAGGGAAGGGGGAAGGGGAAGGGAAAGGGAAGGGGGGAAAGGGAAGGGGAGGAAAGGGAGGAAGGGAAGGGAAAGAGAAGGGAAAAAGGAAAGGAAAGGGGAAAGGGAAAGGGAAAGGGAAAGAAGGAAAGGGAAAGGGAAAGGGAAAGGGAAAGGAAAGACCTAAACCCTTTATTTCCACAATTCGGAGCAAAAGACATGACTGATCATCACTTCAAATAGGCATTGGGTTATTCACCCCTCCCTCCTCCCCCCCCCCCCCCACTTTTGCCAATTTGGCTGTTCTGCCTTCCACGAACTCAAACACACACCCAATTTCCACCTAAAATAGTTTCGGGATAAATAAATATATGTTACGGTTCAAGAACGGAGGGCAATAAAAGTCACCCAGATGAGAGAGGGAGGGAGGAAGAAGAAAGATAGAGGAGGGAGGAGGAGGAAAAATAAAGAAAGAGAGAAAGAAAGAGAAACAAGGGAGAGGAGGAGGGTGAGAAAGAGAGGGAGGGAGAGAAAAATAAAAGGAATGAAAGAGAGAAAGGGATGAAAAGGAGAGATGGAGAGAAAAGGAAAAAGAAAGGAAAAATGAGAGCTAGAGAAAGAGAAGGAAAGAAAAAGAAATGAGAGAGAGAGAGAAGGAAGGAGAAGGTAAGAAAAGGGAAAGGAAGAAAAAGCAATGAGATAGATAGAGAGAGAGAGAGAGAGAGAGAGAGAAGGAAAGAAAAAGGGAAAGAGAGAGCAAGGAAAGGGGGGGGAAGAAAAAGGGAAAGAGAAAGAAAAAGCAATGAGATGGAGAGAGAGAGAGAGAGAAGGAAAGAAAAAGGGAAAGAGAGAGCAATGAAAGAGAGGGGGAAGAGAGAAAAAGGGGAAAGAGAGAAAAAGAAATGCAAGAGAGAGAGAGAAGGGATGAAAAAGGGAGAGAGAGAAAGATAAAGCAATGAGAGAAAGAGAGGGAAAGAAAAGGGAAAGAGAGAGAGAAAGAAAAGAAATGAAAGGGGGAGAGAGAGAGAAATGGAAGGGAAAGGGAAAGAGAGAGAGAGGAATAAGAGAGAAAGAGAGGAAAAAGAAAAAGGGAAAGAGAGAGAGAAATGAGAGAGAAAGAGCAGGAAAGAAAAAGGGAAAGAGAGAGAGAGAGAAAGGAAAAGGGGAAGGAAAGAGATAAAGTAATGAGAGAGAGAAAGGAGAAGAAAAAGGAAAAGAGAGAGAGAGAAAAGAAAAAAATGAGAGAGAAAGAGAAGGAAAGAGAAAGAAGAGAGAGAAAGAAAAGGAAGGAAAAGGGGAAAGAGAGAGAAAGCAATGAGAGAGAGAGGAAAAGAAAAGGGGAAAGAGAGAGAGAGAGAGAAAAGAAATGAGAGAGAAAGAGAAGGAAAGAAAAAGAAAGAAAGAAAAAGAAATGAAAGAGAGAGAGAGAGAGAAGGAAAGAAAAGGAGAGAGAGAGAGCGAGAGAGTGAGAGAAAGATAGATAAAGAAAGGGAGGGAGGGAGATGCGCAAAGAGATGTGCATAAAAATGGATCTCTTTCCTAGTCCAGGAATGCAGCTGGCTCTTACAATCACACAAATATCTCTCTCAAATTCACACAGTGACAGAGAAAAAAGAGAGTTAGAGGGAAATCCAAGATACTCTCTCTCTCTATCAGTGTGTCTCTCACACAGGGAGAAATGCATAGCGGTGTGTGAGTGTTATCACAAGATGCACGCCTTGGATCACTTGGATGCATCCAAACCCCCAAATAAACCTTCACATTTTTGGGGATCCCTTCCTTTGTATTATTTATCATTTATTTTATGTTTCTTTCTTGATAGGCTATAATTATGTCTCTAACCCTCAGAATAAACCCTATTTTGGGGAGGGGGTCCCCCTTCTTTCGGCTGAACTATTCCTTTTTATTGATCTCTGTGCATCCAACCGAAATGCCTTCTTTCACCCTTCATTGGCATGTATCATTTTCTTTTAATTTCTTAATGCATCCCAGAAATAAACTCCCACTTTGTATTGATTCTATGCATATTCCCAAATATAAACATCCCCCCTTCTTTGGATTCTATCATTTCATTGATAACCTATGCACACAATTCCCCCCGAAATAAACTTTCAACCCTCCTCTTTATTTGAGCTTGACTCCATCTCTATATCTTCCCTTCCCAAACTGACCCCTCCCCTAATAATAATAATAATAATAATAATAATAATAATAATAATAATAATAATAATAAATAAGCCTCTTGTTGTTCTCTCTTGGCTCCGGATCGATATCGCTATCTCTTTTCATCCCGCTGAAGACACATCTGAAAACATACTAATGCTCTTTGCTTTATTAACACGAAAACAAGGCATTGAGATTCTCCTTCCTTCTCTTTCTTTCTCGCTCCCTCCATCCTTCTCTCCTTTGGGAATGAATGAATGAAGGAAGGAAGGAAGGAAGGAAGGAAGGAAGGAAGGAAGGAAGGAAGGAAGGAAGGAGAAAAGGAAGGGAAGGAGGGGGGAAGAAAGAGAAAAGAAGGAAGGAGAAGGAAGGAGGAGAAAGGAAGGAAGAAGAAAGGAAGAAGGGAAGAGAGGAAGAAGGAAGAAGGAAGGAAGGAAGAGAAAAGGAAGGGAGTAAGGAAAGAAAGAAGAAGGGAAGGAAAGGGAAAGGAAGGAGAAGGGGGGAAGAGGAGAGGAGAGGAGGAAGGAAAAAGGAAGGGAGGAAGGAAGGAAAAAAGAAGGGAGGAAGGAATGAGAAAGGAAGGAAAGGAGAAAAAAGGGAGGAGGGAAGAAAGGAAGAAAGAAGAAGGAAGAAAAGAAGAAGGAAGGAGGAAGGAAGAAGGGAAGGAGGAAGGAAGGAAGGAAGGAAAGAAGGAAGGAGGAAGGAAGGAAGGAAGGAAGAAAAAAAGAAAAGGAAGAAGGAAGGGAAAAAGGAGGGGGGAAGGAGGAGAAAGAGAGAAAGAATGAAGGAAAGAAAAGAAGGAGGGGAGGAGGAAAAGAAGGAAAGGAGGAAGGAAAAAAGAAAGGAGGGAGGAAAGAAGGAAGGAAGGAAAAGAAGAAGGAAGGAAGAATAAAAGAAGGGAGGAAGGAAGGAAAAGAAAAAAGGGAGGGAGAAAGAGAGAAAGAAGGAGGAAAGGAAAGAAGAAGGAAGAGGGAGGAGGAAAAAAGAAGGGAGGAGAAGAAAAGAAAGAGAGGGAGGAAGGAAGGAAAGAAGAAGGAAAGAAGAGGAAGAAGGAAGAGAGAGGGAGGGAGGGAGAAAGAGAGAGAGAAGGAAGGAAGAAGAAAAGAAAGGGGGAGGAAAAAGAAGGGAGGGAGGAGGAAAAAGGAAGGAAAAAGAAGAAAGGAAGGAAGGAGAAAAGAAGGGAGGAAGGATGAAAAAAGGAAGGAAGGAGAGAGAGAAAGAGAGAGGAGGAGGGAGGAAAAAAGAAAGGGAGAAAGGAGAAAAGAAGGGAGGGAGGAAAGGAGAAGAGGAAAGGAAGAAAGGAAAAGGAAGGAGAAGGAAGGAAGGAAGGAAGGAAGGAAGGAAGGAAAAGGAAGGAAGGAAGGAAGGAAGGAAGGAAGGAAGGAAGGAAGGAAGGAAGGAAGGAAGGAAGGAGAGAAAGGAGTCGGTTAATGGGAAAATGTCTTGTTTTTTTTTAAGCCGGATCCCTCATCCGTCCCAATAAAGAGGGACAAAAAGAGGTGTGTTTCCCTCGCTTGGGAAAGGGTCAGCTTGTGGGGTAGAACCGCATTAAACGCCCCGTGCAGACTCACACTCTGCATCGAGCTTCAGGAGAGAAAACTCCGAAGAACTTGCTTCTAAAAGGGAGGGAAGGGAAGGATTGCACACACACACTGATTTTGCGCGTGTTTTGCATCGTCTCCACGGATAAGAAAAGCTGCCAGCCAAGCCCTTCCTATTGACTTGATCAAACTCTAGGGGGCTTCATGAAAATGGGGAGAAAGTGCCACTCGCGTGCGTGTTTAATTCGCGCGTGTCACATTTTTGCTGGGAAAGATGAACCGTTTAAAGACTAGGGAGAGGGAAGCGTGTCTTGTCTTTGTCTTATCGCGGATCAGTCACGCGTGGGCTACAATTCCGCGGGACTGTAGCAAAGGATAGCTCCAAGTCCAAACTGGTGTCCCAGTTTGGTGTGAAAATGCCAGTGGGAAAGGGGGAAAGGAATAATTGAAAACGCCGGGGCTTTGCAGGCTGGATCAACGCTGCAGTTAACAGCGACAGTGTGGACTCAGATCACGCAGTGAAAGCATACAACGCATTAAACTGCCTTACATGTGTCTACACTGATCATATGACGCATTAAAGTGCACTATGTGAAGCTTCCCTGAGCATATCATATATTAGTCGCTTTGAGTCTCATTGTGGAGAGAAAAAGAGGCATCAACATAATAATAATAATAAATAATAATAATAGTAGTAGTAGTAGTAGTAGTAGTAGTATGATAGCAGTGTAGATCCAGACTTAGCTGAGTCCATTCAGTGACCATATAAATGGATTAGTTGCTTTAAGCTTTTCCATCACGGCATTAACCTTTCCCACGTTCGCCAAATTACACGTGAAGGCGCCCTCTCTCGAGATCCACGCGTGGGTAACAACTGCACTCCTTTGGCTCCTCTATCTTTCTGGTCCTCTCCCCCAATACACGCGAGGTGACATCTTGACAAGCAGTGGATGCTTGAATATTCAGTGTCCCCCTTCCCCACGTTTCCCGCGTGGATTTTCTAAAGCCCCAGCCAACAGATCTAACAAATCCTACACACAGCCATATTTAGTTACGCGTGTTTTGTTCACAGAAGAGGCCCCGAAAGCCAAACCCGACTTTTTGAGGAATTAAATCATAACATTGGGGGGAAATTCCATACCTTCTTGTCGAAAACTCTCGTGGGTGGGAATCTCGCGTGTTTATCTGCCCTGTAAAAGAAGAAGAAGAAGCAAAAATTAGGAAAGCTTCGATTCCAACATTAAGAGGACGCTACAAGCTTATGGGAAATATTCATAGAGAAGGTTTCTTCCTACACGCGTGTTCTGTACACGCGTGTTCTGGCACTTTTCTCCCTCCTTTCTTTTGGAGGAATATTTCTGCGTTGGAGGGTGAGCTCACAAACATTTTGAGGCAGCGAGGAAAGAGATGGGATCTCCCAAAAGGACTGACACGTGTCGGGTTGGAAAATGAACGTGTGAATGCATCACTTTGAGTGCCTCAAAGGGGAAAAACCACGCAAGGGGTCCCGAAACGGGAAGAAATCGCAGACTACACAAAACCCGGGTTTTGTCTTCCAAATTTTCCCGTCGAGGGAGGCATGAGTGTTGACACGTGTCTTTTTTTATTGTATTGAGCAGGCCTGGGCAAACTTCGGCCTTCCCTCCAGGTGTTTTGGACTACAACTCCCACAATTCCTACCGGCTGTTAGGAATTGTGGGAGTTGTAGTCCAAAACACCTGGAGGGAAGGCCGAAGTTTGCCCATGCCTGGTATATCTCCTAGGCATTCTTAAGCTTTGGAAGTTTAGTGGAGTTTAGTTGGGAAAGAACTGGGTCTTTGAACACGCAAAGTGGATTGTACTTCTGAGAGATACTCCCATAGAGACCCCAGGAAAAAACATATAGGGGAAATAAAAATAGTAATAATTAATAATAATTAAAATAATAATAATTAAATTAATTAATTAAATAACTAATAATTAAAATAATAATAATAACTAATATTAATAATAATTAATTAATTATTATTATTATATTTTGTGTGGGGTCCTTTTGGGTATATTATTAAGGGCTTTCCCTATTGTTTTCATTCGAAGGAGGGATAAGGATTGAAAGAGGCTACTCTAATACCTCCGACAATGTAATTAAAGGACTTCCTAAGAAAGAAGGGATGAAAGAGGAAAAAAAGAAGGGGTGGAAAAATCTCCTGTGTTTATTGCAAGCCCAAAAAAATTTAAAAATGTCGCACTAGTTTGTCTTCAGGAAAGGAAAACAGCTCAGCAGCTATTGAAAGGCAATGATCCGAAAAAGACAGAAGGGAGAAGAAGAGGAGGAGGAGAAAATCGATTGCCTTCTCCGTCCCTTTCACACCATTCAAAGACACCACAGGGAAAACAGGAGAAAAGAGGAGAAGAAGGAGAAATTTTGAACTCCCCCCTAAATCTTTGGAGCGTTACTTCAACGTTACTGTAGTTCGTTACTGGGGAAAATATATATATACATTCAGGTTCAAGCTTTGGAAGAGTCCTCTCCAACATTCACCCTTTCCTCTCTGGAAAAGTTACTTTTGTGGGAGGGTTAGGGTTAGGCAACCTCACCTTTGACCCTCAGGGTCATCTAACTCCAAAGTTTGGAAAAGCTCAAAGGAGGGGGAAGAATAATGACAGCAAACTGGAACTATTTGGAGAACATTCTCTGGCCCTCTTTTCCCTCCCTTCTTCCAGCCCAACTCCAGAATGAATACCATGCTCTTCCTCCCAATGAAAACCAGCTCATGGAAATAATTATTTAATCTTGAGTTACATTGGGTTCCAATCTGAAGGGGTGTGTTTGTGGTAGCTGCTTTGAACCCCTTGAGGACTAGCAACTTCCCCTCTTTGGGTCTTCTTATAGGAAATTAGAGCTCAGGGCAGGCCAAAATTAGATGTGGAAGCCACGTCAAGCCATAAGAAGGAATAGTTCATCATAGACCAAGAATGTATATGATGACAATATAATAATAATAAAATTAAATAATAATAATAAATAATTAATTATTATAGAAATAATTAATCTATACATCTTGAGGACTAGTAACCTCTCTTCTATTTAGTTTCCTATTGGAAATAAGGGTTCAGGGCAGGTCAGTCATAGGCTGTGAAGTCATTTCAAACTACTGGGATTTTAAAAAGAGGGGATAGTTCATTACAGAAGAAATCCTCGCAGATTTAGAACTTTTACCATACCTCTTGAGGACTAGTAACCTCTACTCATTGGGTTTCCTATAGGAAAAAATAGCTCAGGGCAGGTAATGTGTGTGTATGTGTGTGCCATTTAGAACAATTAAGATGAAAAAGAAGAAGGAAGTCATGTTGATTGCAGTCCCAGAGCAAGAATTTATATGTTAGAAAAAAATGAATGCACATTGAGGACTAGTAACTTCATTATATATATATATATATATATATATATATATATATATATATATATATATGAATGAGGTTACTAGTCCTCAATGTGCATTCATTAATTTCTAACACACACACACATGCCATTTAGAACAATTAATAAGAAAAAGAATAAGGAATTCGTGTTGATTGCAGTCCCAGACCAAGAACATATATGTTAGAAATTAATGATACACATTGAGGACTAGTAACCTCTCCTCTTTTAGTTTACTATAGGAAATAAGAGCTCAGTGTTTGTGTGTGTGTGTGTGCAATTTAGACCAATTAAAGACTAGTAGTCTTTCTTCTTTTAGTTTCCTATAGGAAATAAGAACTCAGGGCAGAGGGGTGTGTGTGTGTGTGTGTGTATGCCATTTAGAACAATTATATATTATAGAAATTATACACCTTGAGGACTAGTAACTTCTCCTCTTTTAGTTTCCTATAGGAAATAAGAGATCAGGGCAAGTATGTGTTTGAAATTTAGAACAATTAAATACTAGTAACTTTTCTTCTTTTAATTTCCTATAAGAAATAAGAGGGCAGGTGTGTATATGTGTGGGTGCCTTTTAGAACAAATATATTTTATAGAAATTGTACACCTTGAGGACTAGCAACTTCTCCTCTTTTAGTTTCCTATGGGAAATAAGAGCTCAGGGCAGGTGTGTGTGTGTGTGTGTGTGCAATTTAGAACAATTATATATTATAGAAATTGTACACCTTGAGGACTAGCAACTTCTTTTAAGTTTCCTGTAGGAAATAAGAACTCAGGGCAGGTGTGTGTGTGTGTGTGTGTGTATGTGTGTGTGTGTGTGTATGAACAATTTAGAACAATTATATATTATATTATAAAAATTATATACCTAGAGGACTAGTAATATTTCTTCTTTTAGTTTCCTTATAGGAAATAGGAGCTCAGGGCAGGTGTGTGTGTGTGTATGAGCAATTTAGAACAATTATATATTATATTATAAAAATTTATAGACCTTGAGGACTAGTAATCTTTCCTCTTTTAGTTTCCTATAGGAAATAAGAGCTCAGGGCATGTGTGTGTGTGTGTGTGTGTGTGCCATTTAGAACAATTATATATTATATAAATTGTACACCTTGAGGACTAGCAACTTCTCTTCTTTTAGTTTCCTATAGGAAATAAGAGCTCAGGGCAGGTGTGTGTGTGTATGTATGTATCTCTCTGTGTGTGTATGTGTGTGTGTGTGTACACACACAATATATGAGCAATTTAGAACAATTATATATTATATTATAAAAAATCATATACCTTGAGGACTAGTAATCTTTCCTCTTTTAGTTTCCTATAGGAAATAAGAGCTCAGGGCAGGTGTGTGTGTGTATGTATGTATCTGTGTGTGTGTGTATGTGTGTGTGTGTACACACACAATATATGAGCAATTTAGAACAATTATATATTATATTATAAAAAATCATATACCTTGAGGACTAGTAATCTTTCCTCTTTTAGTTTCCTATAGGAAATAAGAGCTCAGGACAGGTGTGTGTGTGTGTGTGTATAAGCAATTTAGAAAAAATCTATATTATATTATAGAAATATACACCTTGAGGACTAGTAACCTTTCCTCTTTCGTTTTTGTATTGCAAGGGAAGACCAGCACAGAGCTGAAAAAATGGGGTGGTGTTGAGAACGTGAATGGGGAGCAGTCATTGGCATGGCTATTATCTGAAGGATCTGGGGATCAATACCTTGATCTCCCTGTCCTCCTTCTCCTTCGTTTTTCCTTTCCCTCCCCACCAACCTCCCTGCCTCTTTGGTGGAGGTCACTAAACTCGCTTCTCCTGCTTTGCCTCCTGGTTTGAGGTGGGCCAAACCCACTTATGTGTTTCATTAACCCTTGTAAACACGCCATTAAGTCTCCAGAAGGTAAATCCTAGTCTTGTTGTGTTTTCAAAGGGGAGGACCAAAGGTGTGTCTCCATTGCAAAGGTATGTCTCTGTCGCCCACCTGAGAGAGACGCACCTGGACACCAACCTTGCTGCAGCGTTTGGTTTAGAAATCAATGGAAAGAAAGAAATCCTGAGCTTCAAAAAGAGAGAGAGTGGGAGAGAAGCAAAAGGAGAATAGAAAACATGGAAAGACTCCAAAACCGTTCCCTAAAACCACCTAAATTTACTCCAAATTGTTCCACCAGGCCTTTAAAGATGGGGTGTGGGGGTCTCATCACTCTCCTCCACCTTCAAGATTAATGCGGGGTATTTATGCCCCCCTTTATTGAAAAGGGAAATCAATTCGCATTAACGGGGAGCGGCGCCCACAAAACGGGGAGAAGATTCACCAGCGCAAAGAAGGAAGGAAGAGAAAAGCAACATTCCAGGATTTTATTGTTATTTCTCCCCAGGTTGCATTTGTTGTTCTCCTTCCACCACATAGGAGAGGATAAAAAAGTAGAGGAAAAAGAGAAGGGGTGAAGGAAGAAAAGAAGATAAAGAGAAAAGGGGGAGAGAAAGGGAAGTAGAAGGAGGAAGAGAGGAACAAGGGGGAGAGAGAGAGAAGGAGAGAGAAAGGAGGAGGAAAAAAAGAAAGGAGAAAGAAGGCGAGGAAAAGAAGAAGAGAAGGAGTAAAGGAAGAAAAAGAGAGGAAGAGGGAGAGAGAAGGGGGAGAGAAAGAGGAGAGAAGTAGAAGGAGGAAGAGAGGAACAAGGGAAAGGGATAGAGGGAGAGAAGGACAAGGGGAAAGAGGGAGAGGAAAGGGAGAGGAGAAGG